ACCCCCCTTCTTCACCTCCCTGCCAGTCCAGCTTTCTTATTTGTACTACATAAATTGTAACACATAAATGTTACAATGCTGCAATGAGGAAGAACCACCACAAGAATGCTGCCATTGTGGCTTTCTGTAGAGCACTGGGCAGGGACACATGACAATTGAACTCTAATCTAGCTTCTGCTTTTAGTGCTGATACAAAATGGAAACTCTCTCCATCTCAGCACCTGTTTCACTAACAGTGAAAGAGGAACAATGATGCAGACCTGTTTGTGACGTTCTGTGTGTTGAGCAGACTAAATGTGGAAGGTACATGTTAGAAGAGCTTATGCTGCCTGTGAGAAATGTTTGTGGCACCAAGGAACAGATCCTTCAGTGAAGCACAGTTTGTTTACACTCTGCACTGGGCCAGGCTGCCCAGAGAGGCTGTGGAGTCTCCTTCTCTGGAGACATTCCAACCCCCCTGGCCACGTTCCTGTGTGATGTGCTCTGGGTGCCCCTGCTCTGGCAGGGGGGTTGGGCTGGGGGAGCTTTCCAGGTCCCTTCCAACCCCTGGGATTCCATGATTCCATGACTCAAAGCTCCAGCAGGCCCGGCACGCACTAGATGGCAGCATCCAACAGAGCTTGGCCGGGAAGGACCAACCCGCCTCAGGATCTGCCCTGGGAGGGGATCCCTCCGACCTCCTGCAAAACCTACAGGTCTGCCTGAGGTGCCCCCGCCCCACAGACCCTCCCTCGGGCCCGGAGGGGGTCAGGGCTGTGAAGCTCTGCAGAAAAACGGTGCTGGATGCTCAGCAGGTGCTTGAGATGCCTCGGTGATGGAGGAGAACGTGTCCCTCAGCACCACAGCACCTCATCCCCTCCATCCCCACCTTACAGAGAGCCCATGACATTGCCCTTTCATATAAAACTTGCAAACCCTGTATTATTGCTCCTCTTAAGGTCACCCCAGACTAATGGGGTCACAGGCCCTACAGCTCCAGAGGGTCCCAACCCGACCTGGAGGACAGAGTTCCCTCACCCAGAAGATCTCCCAGTGGGAGCAACAACATCCAACCCCCCTCAGAGCCAGCAGGGTGACATTCTTGCTGCATCTCTTTCTCTCGGGAAGAAAATGCCCTTTCAAAACTACTTCATTTTTAGCTACAGTGGAAAGCTGGACATGGCCCTTCAGGTGTCACTGGTGCCTGGAGGGTCCAAACCTTTAACCAGGGTAAGACAAGACCCCAAGTTCTGTGCACAGGCAGCCCCCTTGGGCCCCAGCACATTTAGGGCCTTTTTCTCCCTCTAAATCATTTTCCCTCCTTGTTGTTTTGGTTGGTTTTTTCCTATCAATAGTCCAACAACCCACCTCCCACCTGAGGACCTTCTCCCCTACCTTGACAAACATCTTGCTGCCAGTGGAGTTGTGGGCAGGGCCAGTGGGGGTGCAGTACACGGACATGGACTTGCGGTCCCGGGAGAACTCCAGGGTACACTCCTTCCTCATCAGCTGCTTGATCACCTGTGGGGACAGCGTGGGGCTGAGCTGGGATGTGCTGGGGGAAGCCCTGGGGGAGCTGGGATGTGCTGGGGACAGTGTGAGGAAGATGGGATGTGCTGGGGACAGTGTGGGGCTGAGCTGGGACGTGCTGGGGACAGCCCTGGGGGAGGTGGGATGTGATGGGGACAGTCCTGGGGGAGCTGGGACATGTTGGAGACAGTGTGAGGCTGAGCTGGGACACCCTAGAGACAGTCTGGGGCTGAGCTGGGACAGCCCTGGGGCTGAGCTGGGACATGCTGGAGCCAGAGGTGCTAGGGCCACAGCAGTCAGTGCTCTCCCCCTTGGCTAACAGTCCTGCTGAGCCTGCACAGCCCCACTGATGAGAGGAGAAAGGCCAACACAGGAGCCAGGAGGATGGGACAGTGCAAAAAGAGCTTTTCCCATGTACTTTTGGGGGAGAATTTCAACAATGCCCCCCCCCCCCCCCCAGCTACAGCACTGCTGCCCGAGCTCCTGGCACACACCATGTGCTGAGCCAGACCTTTATATTCTTGACCCTACCCAGGATGACAAACAGCTGCTGTAGCCTGAGATAAAGGCCCATTTGGCAGGGAAGGGAGGGGGGAAATTCCCCTCTTTGGGCTCCATCTATGCTGGGAGAAGGGGAATTGCATCCCACTCCTTACAGTCTAGGAGTCTGCCCTGGTCCTGCACCCACAGAGGCCACTGGGAGTCAGAGCACCATCACCTGAGGCTGAACTGGTTCTCATCAAATTAACCAGCAGCTTAGAACCTAATTAGGCTCATTTCAGGGTGTGCTAATTACCCCGTGGAGTGCCAGGGAGGCAGTGACCCTCCCCCACATGGTACCTGCAGGTTTGCAGGGTGAGGACAGAGCAGGGGCTGTCACAGAGGTGCCCACAGATGGGCTCCTGCACCCCAAAAACCCCAAGCTCCACAAACCAGCCTCTGCTGATGCTACTAATGAATAATTGCAGGAGCCAAGTACCCAGCAGGAGCAGCAGCCAGGCCTCCTCACACTGCTCCCCCTCTCACAGCCACATCAGCAGCCCAGCAGCTCAGCCCAGCTCCTGGCAGGACACGTCCCCAAAACCCCATTTAATGAGCAGGGCATCCAGGGTTGATCCAAAGAATTTCCCAACAGGAATATTGATGCCAACCTGAGGGGCTCAACTGCTTGAATGACTATGTTTTGTCACCAAGAGGGTGTCACAAACAGCTTTTTGCATGGGACTTTGACAGCAACTTCCATCTAAATCATCAATTGCTTAAGGTTGGAAAAGGACCTTAAAGATCAATGAAAAGGGCAAAGGAAAAGAAAACTTTTGGAGTGAAACTTTGCATGTTCCAAGTCAAAAAGATGCTCCTACTGCAGCAAAACAGCCAAAGCTGGGGAGGTGGAGAGACAGGCAAAGGGGATCTGTCTGTGCAAACTGTGGGCACTGCCTGTGGATACACCAGGCAAAGAACAAGTGGTTCTGAGATCCCAAAGCCAGCACAGGGCACATGGGCAGTGAGTGCAGCTTTGTGCCCACAAAGCAGAGCCATCCTGCTTGGAGCAGCAGCAAAGACACCAGGCAGCAGCCACGCTCTGCAGAACCCCTCAGTTCCCACCACAGACTGCAAAACACAGAACCACTGGAAGGGAAATGAAGTAGTGAAGCAACACTGCTAGGAAACTCCAAGGAAGGGTTGTTTTTTTTTTATCCCTGCCCAAACACAGGAGTAAGGGGAGCAGCTCTGGTGACCTCACCCAGCCTGGCAGGTGAGGGGCAGGGCAGTGACAGGCATGCATAAGGAAGCTGCTGCTGCTGGAAAATTCCATCTCCCTTATCAGTAAGGAGTCAGGGGATTTATTACAACCTGCCAGGAACTATCTGGGGAAGAAATGCCAGAGCAGAGGGCCCTTCCTTCAGGCAAGCAGGAACATTAAAAGCTCTAACAGCACGATACCAAAGCTGAGTAAATCTAGACCTGGAATAAGGTGTGTTTTTACCAGGAGGCACTGGAGAGCCAGAGTAGGAAGTGAAAAGCTTCCATAGGATGTTTTCACCTCAGAAATAGATGTTTCTGAAGGTCAAGCATTGCTCAGGCAGGTACAGCTCAGGGAACAGAGTTTGATCCACACTACAGAGGATCCTGCTCAGTGCAAACCAGGCACCCATAGATTTGCTGAGGAGCTATAAAACTGCAAACCTTATCTGCAGCTGGAGCTTCTGGCCATCACCAAGAGGGTCTCTCCTGGCAGAGCAGGGACCAGGCTGAGTTTGAGCTTTGGGAATCACCTGCTCTGAAAGCTGCCCATGGAGGCAGGTTAGTCCCTGGCCCCACATCAGTCCCCCAGGGCCACTGCACTATCTGGTTACAAACAGCTCAGCCCCTGCCAGGCAGGAAATTGCATCCTGGTGGCAGATCAGTCCCTTAGATCTTTGCAAATGGTTCTTGCTCAAATAACAGTTGTCCCAAAGCCCTCCTCTTCCTCCCAGAGCTCACAGGAGCTCCCCTCACTCACTGAGTTGCAGGCGTTGGCTCGTTCCACCTTGGAGAGTTTGCTGGTGTCTGTGTTGAACACATTCATCTTCTCCACGAGGCATGTCAGGGCTGTTTCAGTGGCTTCCCCCACCTTCTCATAGACTTTCTTGGACTATGAGACAAAAAAAAAAAAAAGCTTAAGCTTTAACACACGTTCCCTACCTGCTGCTTCAACCACCATCCCAGGGCTCCCAGAGCATCTCCCTGGGATGGGCTGAAACCAGGGCAGGGGATCCCAAGGGTCAAACTACTGCTGCAAAGGGGCCCACAGTGCAGGGAAGAGAATCACCAGTGTCCCCCCACTCCCCCTGATGCCCCAGCACCTCGTTGTAGTCCAGGGAGGAGTCGTTGCAGAGGGCACAGATGGTGGCCAGCTCCACCAGCCCGTCGTACTGCCCGCACTGCACCGGCTGCCCGTCCTTCAGGCTGCAGGAGAAAACAAAGCCTTGCACTTCACCAGCTTAGGTGCTCAAATAATACTCAGCTTCTCCTACAGAGCCCTTGCAAAGTGTTCTGAAAAGAGGGAGCAAGAGCCCAGTTAATGCCCCGGGATTGGCAAAAAAAACCAACCCACAACACTTGGGTTTGCCTTCCGTGCTGCACCTAAAGGAGCAGGACCAGCTGTAAATAAATGTCAAATCAACTCTGGAAATGGCCCAGAGTAAAGGGGCTGCAGAGGAGCTGGAAAGTGTGTTAGACCTGAAAGCAGGGGCTGCCAAAAAGCAGGTGGTGATGGATGAGAAAAGGGGCAAAAAAAATTCCAAGATCCCCCAGGGATTCCCAACTGCTGGGGACCCAGAGGAGCTGTAGGACTGGCAGCAAGTTCTCCTCCCTGCCCCGCTGCTTTGTGCTCCAGAGGGTACCCAAGGGAGTGTTTAAAAGCAGCAGACAAATTTAACAACTGCATTGCTGTGGCTGTTTCCAAGCAAGCAGCAAACTGGGGCCTTTGCTTCCTAAATAGCAGCTCTTTGCTACGTAAAGGAGCACAAACATCACTGGAAAGGAGCAGCCCTCAGCACTCCAGGCAAGCTGGATGCTGCTTCTCACCCGGTGGCAGAAATGGCAGAGGTGGTTTTTCAGGGGAAATGAAAAATTATCCCAGTTCCAGGAGAGGTAACTGCAGGTTAGAGCTGTATAAACTCAGCTGGTCATCTGCTTGCTGGAAAAATAATTTGTCAGGCATTTATTAGGATCAGTTTATTCCACTGCTGGTTCCCAATGGAAAGAACATTTTGGAGCCCTTGTTACAGCCTGGGAGCGGAAAACAGGGAGAGGCCAAGAAAATCTGAAAAATCTGTTTGCTGGGGAACAAGAAGCTGTGCTGGGGAGGGAGAGCCACAGCCTCCTGCCTGGAGGATGCTGCCCAGCCCTGGGGACATGATGGAGCTGCAGGCAACCCTGGACCTGGTGTTTGGGGTGGTGGAAATAGCAGGGATGGCTTTTGCAGGATGTGATCCCCTGGAGAGGGCTGGGAAGGGGTGGGGGTACATCCCCACTGTCAGCTGTCCTTGCATGGAGCCAAGTGGGACCTGAAGGCCCATCAGCAAAGGAGCTGCTGGCTGGGTGCTGTGTGGGGACATGAGCAAGCCCAAGGTCAAGCACATCACCTGTGCCAAGGCCAGGTTAAGCACTTCAGTCCCACCATCCCCAGGGCAGTGGGGGTTTTCTCTCCACGACACCTAAACAAGCTCTTGCACCCCCCTCAGTGGGCAAAGGTGAGCACAAGGATGAAGCAAAACTCCAAAGCAACATGAACTTCTGCAAGACCAACACAGAGCCCCTCTGCAGGCAGCTCTCAGAGGAGAGGGAACATTGCAGCTTCCAAAGTTAGCAGACACAAGTTCAGCCCCTCAGTCTTGCTCATTTAATTGAAATGCACTGATTGGTACCAGCTGATGACCTGGCTCCCTTTTTAATGGAGATTCCTAGCCAAGGATCAAATTGGCTCTATAAATATTCATGAAATTAAGTCTGAGGCTGGGATTAATTATAGTTACTCCCCAGATGAGCAGAAGGGACCACAGTGAAGAACATGCCCAGGATCACACAAATAGAAGGGGAGGAGAGGCTGAGCTTCTCATCCTCCTCCTTCCCAGAGCTCCCCCACTCTGGGGAGCATCACCTCCCTTCAAAGGATGGGGAAGTAAATAAAAACAAAGGCAGAAAACCCCATGTACATACTTATGGAGCAGGGAAAAGCCCCTGTCTCCTACACCCCACCCTTGGGCTCAGCTCAGCAAAGTCCATGTCTCCCCCAAAATGTGTCCTGACATCAGCATCATCATGGCCTGGGCGCAGAAGCCACCACAGCCATCCCTGCTGAGCATGTGGGGCTCAGAGAGCACTTTCCTGCCAGGGTTTGCAGCTGTGGGGAAGTCCCTCTGCACACCCCCAGGTCCTGCTTTTGGTGGGGGCAATAGTTGTTGGCCAAACAGTGAAACCGTGCAGGTTTCAGGGATGTAGACAATGAGCACACAGGGTGGAAGGCCTCGTTCCCCACCATTCCCACACTTGCCATCCTCTCCAGTTCAAGGGTGGGCTCATTTTACTGGGATTGCAACAGAAGGGAGAGCCAAGTGTGCCAGGGCCCCTTTGCTGAGCAGAGGGAGGGCAGCAGGCAGAGCTGGGGATGTGTCCCCTACGTTGTGTCAGGCAGGAGCCAGTGATGAGGGACAGTGGGAGCTTTTGCCCTGGTTCCCACTGAAAGCCAAGAGCAGCCACACGAAAAAACCAGCCCAATGTGGCCAAAACCTGGTGGGTGTCTCTGTCAGGTACAGAGGGGCTGCAAACTGGTGTGGGAAACCCAGCAGGGTGTGTCTGGGGTCCCCCAGCTGTGGCCACGAGCTCAACCCTCCCACCTCCCCCTGCCTGCACTTGCAGTGTCACCCAGGGGACCCACACTCACATCTGTCCCTCGGGGGCGTAGGTGGAGCCAGTGATGCTGAACTCGTGCAGGCTGCACTGGGTGCCCTCCACCTTCTCCATAATGAACATCTGGGAGGGGAAAAGATGGAGACAAGAGTCATTAGGAAGTGATTTTTGGGTACAACCCACGTGCCCAGCCTGGAGACCCTCCTGCAGGGACCATCCCAGCCACAGCCCCGCTGGCACCAGGCTCAGCCCATCACTCCTGCCTGTCCCTGAATCCTTCCAGCTCTCCTCTGCCTTTTTCATGTTTGCCTCCTCCAGCTCTTTTTTTCCATCGGAGACAAGCAGTGCTGAGCCAGTTCCTAAGAAGCTGCCCGGGTTTTTCTTGGAGCAGAGGAGACTGGTCCCTGTTTCCCCTCCTGCCCTGGCTGCCCTGGAAAACCTCCATGGGGTGGGATCTGCCCAGCTGCCCCGGCCACCCTTTTCCAGCCAGCTCTCAGCCCCCAGCTCCCCTTGGCTGTTACTGGGATCACAGCTCAGCTCTGGGCACTGACAGCTCAGTAATAAAGCCCTGGGGAGCCTTAAAAGTCCCACACACTCTATTTTTAGGGATTTTTTTGCTTTTCAAACTCCTTCCAGTTTCTCTCTTGCTGCTATAGTGAAAACAACACAACCAAAGAAGAAAAATACAGTAAATATCCCCCCTTTTCCCCAAGCTCTCCCTCCCCAAACCTTGCACAGCCCACCCCTTGTTGCACCTCCCATGGTAGCAAGAGCAGTGCCCAGCCAGGGCGACAGTTTGGCGACGTTAGTTTCTGCTTCATCATTATTTATAACCCTCACTTGAAGCCAAAAAGTAACATAACAAATAAATAAATACAATGGGTTTGACGAATGAGCTTCCCTGGCCGCCGGCGCCTGCGAGGAGCAGCCAGGAGGGCTGCAGGGAAGAGAAGCCCTCAGCTCTACAGACCTGCTTGATGGCTCCAAAAAGCAGGTGCAGGAGCAACCAGCCCTCTCTACCATGTCACCAATGATTTATTTACCCTGTTTTCCTCTGCTTGTTTGAGATGTTCCCCAGAAGAAATCAGGAGGCATCACTCAACACCAGAGATGCACCTCAGGGTACCATCCAGAGGTTGGTACAAGAGGTTAGTTCACTATTATTATTAATTATTGCTAATTATACCAGTGCAGCCATGTTGGCTGGTAGGTGTGAGACCTTCCCATGCAGCCCAGTATCCCTGTGTACAAGCTTAAGGACAAGCCAAGGAAAAAAGGTCATGTTTGGGTAAGTATTTTTGTGGCAGGTTTAGCACCAGGACACCTCAGCAGGTTTTCTCACCTCTGTATTTTACAGGTTTGGGCAAATCAAAGCAGGAGATTCAAAGGGTATATCTCCTATGGAAATACTTCTGAGCCTAAACCAACCTCCCTGCAGCTTCACAGTTAACTGCAGATGTTCCATTTGCCCTCAGCTCCTTTCCCAGAGCCCATTTCTGAAGGGTTTCAGAGAAAATCACAAGCCAAAGGTTTGCAGAAGAGACTGAGGATAACCCAGCCTCTCTTTGAGGCACCGAGCTCCTCTGACAGGAGCTGCAAACACTGACACATGTAGGACTTCAATTAAGAGAGCCAAAATACACCGTGTCTCCTTCAGTCACTAAATTACCCCAAGAAGATGGGCTCCAGGAATGGAGGTGAAGTGTGGCTGAGAGGTCCCAAAGCGGAGGCTCCTGCGCCACCAGAAGGGACCATCAAAGGGGCAGCATCCTTCATCTCCTTCCAGGGAGCCATAACCTCCCAGTCTCTTCAGAAAACAGGCTCCTGTGCTCAGAAATGCCAGCCCAACTCCTATTCATTACAAAATCTGAGAGCACCCACCCCCTTTTCCCCAAGCTCTCCCTCCCCAAACCTTGCACAGCCCACCCCTTGTTGCACCTCCCATGGTAGCAAGAGCAGTGCCCAGCCAGGGCGACAGTTTGGCGACGTTAGTTTCTGCTTCATCATTATTTATAACCCTCACTTGAAGCCAAAAAGTAACATAACAAATAAATAAATACAATGGGTTTGACGAATGAGCTTCCCTGGCCGCCGGCGCCTGCGAGGAGCAGCCAGGAGGGCTGCAGGGAAGAGAAGCCCTCAGCTCTACAGACCTGCTTGATGGCTCCAAAAAGCAGGTGCAGGAGCAACCAGCCCTCTCTACCATGTCACCAATGATTTATTTACCCTGTTTTCCTCTGCTTGTTTGAGATGTTCCCCAGAAGAAATCAGGAGGCATCACTCAACACCAGAGATGCACCTCAGGGTACCATCCAGAGGTTGGTACAAGAGGTTAGTTCACTATTATTATTAATTATTGCTAATTATACCAGTGCAGCCATGTTGGCTGGTAGGTGTGAGACCTTCCCATGCAGCCCAGTATCCCTGTGTACAAGCTTAAGGACAAGCCAAGGAAAAAAGGTCATGTTTGGGTAAGTATTTTTGTGGCAGGTTTAGCACCAGGACACCTCAGCAGGTTTTCTCACCTCTGTATTTTACAGGTTTGGGCAAATCAAAGCAGGAGATTCAAAGGGTATATCTCCTATGGAAATACTTCTGAGCCTAAACCAACCTCCCTGCAGCTTCACAGTTAACTGCAGATGTTCCATTTGCCCTCAGCTCCTTTCCCAGAGCCCATTTCTGAAGGGTTTCAGAGAAAATCACAAGCCAAAGGTTTGCAGAAGAGACTGAGGATAACCCAGCCTCTCTTTGAGGCACCGAGCTCCTCTGACAGGAGCTGCAAACACTGACACATGTAGGACTTCAATTAAGAGAGCCAAAATACACCGTGTCTCCTTCAGTCACTAAATTACCCCAAGAAGATGGGCTCCAGGAATGGAGGTGAAGTGTGGCTGAGAGGTCCCAAAGCGGAGGCTCCTGCGCCACCAGAAGGGACCATCAAAGGGGCAGCATCCTTCATCTCCTTCCAGGGAGCCATAACCTCCCAGTCTCTTCAGAAAACGGGCTCCTGTGCTCAGAAATGCCAGCCCAACTCCTATTCATTACAAAATCTGAGAGCACCCACCCCAGCCACCAGCACTTTGGCCTGTTTGTTTTCCACTCTCGCAGCTACAAAACAATCACCGCTTCCACGACAGCAACTTTCTCACTCAACAAAAAAAACAACAAGGCAAAAAAAAAGGAAAGACAAAAAATAAATAAAAATCACCCTAGGCTCTTTATTTTTCCATGCCTATTTAAAAAAAAGGTGCTGGGTAACCCACAGCAACCAGAGGTTATATCAGATTTCCTGCCTGCTCCCAGCTTGCGTGACTGGCAGAGCGAGGGGGCGGCCGGGGCATTGCAAAGGTGTTGGCAGGTTTCTTCTTGGTGTGGTGTCTCGGCAGGTTGCCAGGCTGGGAAGGGGGTAAGTTTGCAGGCAGTGGAAACAGTCTGGAGGAAATAGCAGTGCCTTAATCTGTAGAAGAGGGGAAAGTAAGGTTTCCATCTCAAAAAAATGATGAAAAACAATCGCAGGAGCGACAGAAGGAGGTGGCAAAGCCGAGCGCGGCTGGGCTGGGTGGTGTGGGGAGGTTGCTGAAGGGAGAGGGTTGCAGAGGGGCTGCCTGACCCTCTGCATGGTCACAGGGAACACCAGCTCCTGAATCTTGCAGAGGGACCCCAGCCAGCACCCCCCAGATGCCCCCTCCTTACCCCCTGCCCCTTAACAGTGCTGGTGATTGGGGGTTTTAATGCAGCAGACAAGGGAAAAGGTCACCATGTGCTTCTGACCTGGGCACCCTGCTCCAAAAGGCTTTCAACCATCACTCCTCCTGCCCCACGGCTCTCTCCTGACCCCGGCACTGTACCCCAGTGTGTATTTTTAGAAAGCACAAGGGTCCTCATGGCTGCACAATCCCTGGCTGGAGGCTGGCAGGGAAGAGAGACATGGAGGCTCCATCTCCACATTGCTGAATTTTTCATAGTATCTTTTAAAAAAAAGCCCCTACTCATCAAAAGGCAGGCGAGAGAGAATCGCTGTCTGGAATAGTAAGAGGCTGTAACCACCAGTCACTTCCCCATCCAGCAGCCCACAGATCAGCAGCACATTCCTCCTGTGCAGGAAAGAGCCCCAGCTGAGGGGCACCCACTGGCAGCTGGCACAGCTCAACCCCTGGGGAAGCCCCAGCAAGGTCTGCCCTTGCTCAGGGACTGCTTTAGACAGACCAAACTGGAACAGCAAAGCACAGCACCCTGGGGACTGGAAAGCCAACAGCTGCACCAGGGGTGGGTGCTTGCACATCCAGGCTCTGCCACAAGGTTTATAGAAAATAACCCCCTTCCTGCTCTTGTTTCCCAAAAAACCAGTCAGCTCAGGGACAGCCAAACCTTCATGGCCATGGGGCACCACCATCTCCCCCTTCCAGCTCTGCAGCCCCAAGCCCACGTGGCCACAATCACATCTCCACTGCAGGGCCTGACTTCCAAACACACTCTCCTGCTCCTGGGGAATGAAGTTACAGTGCACAGAAGGTTGCTGCAAGTTTCAGGAGAGTGATCGAAATGTGCAAGAGCAGAGCTGCAAAGCCTCTCTGCCCTGCCAGCACCTCACGGCTCCTGGCTGCATGGTTATTTAATGGTTGGGAGAAGGTTGTCCCTGGTTACTCCACACCATGGGCTGGGTGAGGTGGCAGCCTTGGAGACCCCCAGTTGACCATATGGTGAGCAACACCAAGCCCAGTTTTAATCTGATTCCCTGTGTGGGTTTGCTGTGGAGCTGTAACCTCTGGTGGCCAGAGCAAAAGCACCAAAGCCTCGGCTGCCCCAGATGGACAAGGCTCCCCCACACAGAGCCCTGCTGTGGGCACTTAACACCCAACAAAACCCTTTGGTGGCCACTTAATGGCCACCAGCATCTGAGGGACATCACTTCACCCACGCTGACCACAGTGTCCATACACATCCCACTGTGCTGGCTCAGCTGGCAGCCTGGATACCAAGCAGGACCCTGAGCTGATGCTGCAGCCCTTCAGAACCAGCAGAGGGTTTGAAACCCAACAGAAGCCTCTCCAGAGCCACTTCACAGTTCCAGAGACCTGCAGCCAGATGGAAAGGACAAGCCCTGCCCTGCAGGACATCCCAACCGAGCAGCTGCCCTCACCCAAATTAAATGCCAGTTAATTAAATCACAATTAATACAGTTTTCCCAGTTGTCAATAGGCTTTTGTGCTTTCCTGGCTCTCCTTCCCCCCAGCAGCTGAGCTGGCTGCTGGGAGCAGGAGGAAGATCCTGGACACGCCGTGGTTGCCCAGTGCAAATATTGACCCGGTGCCGCTCCCGGAGCCGCCGGCACCACCCGGGACACGCCGGGAATCCCTGCCCATTCCACACCAACAGCAGGGCTGGGTGTCCCCAGGCCAGCCTGGCTCTCTGCATCACACCCTGGGAAGCAGGAACCAGCCAAGTGAACCATATGGATATGGGAAAGGGGTTGTTGGGAAGTGGGGTGGAGGGTACATGGAATTTGGAATTAATTTTGTTTCATTCTTTCATGAAGTTGTTGAGTCCAGGCTGCAAGTGATGGTCAATGGGAAACCCTCTTGTGTGCCACTCTGTCCCCTTCCTGCCCTCCTCCTGTCTCAGCATCACTAATCCTGCCTCTCTCACCATGCCCCACTGCAGGAGGTGATGGCACTTCTGCCCATGCTGAAGGAGCAGATCCTCCAGTAGATGTCACCTGGGAAAGGCACGGTCATGTCCTACCTCTCCTTCTGCACTGCAGAGCTGAAGAGACCCAGATACTTGGGTCACCCTACACACACCTCCCTGCATCACCAGGGCAGAAAATGGGCTGGTGGGAACCTCCTCCTCATGTGAGACGTGGACAGCTTGGTTGCTCCAGCCGTGTCTCATCTCCAATCATTTACAGGGCAGAAATGTCAGACATTTCCAGTCATCTGCAGTTTGTGCTGTGCAAACCAGTGGCCAAAGGCCATGGCCAACTTGCAGCACAGTCTCGGCTTCCCACCACTCTACCCAAGTGTCAGAGAGGAGAGATGGTGGCCAGGGCCATTTTTTTCCTACAGCAACACATTTTCCAAGGTTCTCCTATAAAACCAACACGCCAAGGTCAAGAAAAAAAAAAAAAAAAAGCCTTCCTGAGACTTGTGGATAAATGGGAAAACTGAGAAGTGCTGGGATGGCCCAGGATTTCTTAACAAGTCACCTCTCCATATGGCCAGACATGCACGAGCAAAGCTCTCTGGTAGACCAGGACTTTCCCTCTCTTTACCAAACCACCCCAGGGCTCCCTCCATCAGAAGCATTTTTCAGTCCAAGCCCAGCTGCACCCAACTGCGGTGCCAGACCTTGCAGCAGGTGAGGGTGAGTAACCAAAGTTCACCAGGTCACAGGCATCTTCTCTTAAGCCCTGGATTTCTGCATCATCTCATCCTAGACAGCTGGACCTGCACGTTGCACTGAACCTTCAAGTTTTGGCCTCACAGGTCCAGGCTTTGTAACTTCACACAGTGCAGGGTTTCTCATTGGTTTGGTTAAAAACAAGGGAACAACATGCAAAAGAGCACAGGAGACTGATGACACCTCCAGGAGCAGGAACAAAGGTTCTCTGGAGAGGGAGCCCTGAAGTAAGTCTGCAACATGTCACCTCCAAGCTCCTGTGCTCATAGAAGTGAGTTTTCTGATCACAGCCACGCCAAGAGAAGCCATCAACCTCCTCACCCCTGTCCAGGCAGCGGGGAAGCTCAGGGCTTCCTACAAACCTTCCACGCCCACCTTCAAACTGCCAACATGCAACAAGCCCGGTGAGGACACCAAAGCCCATCACCCCAGGATGGGGACGGGGCAGCGTAGGGTGCTGGGAGGGCTCACCAAGCATCCCCCCTGCACCCCAAAAAACCCAGAACACCCCCGGCACTCACCCGGCAGACGGACATCTGGTTGGTGGTGAGCGTGCCGGTCTTGTCGGAGCAGATGACGGAGGTGCAGCCCAGGGTCTCCACCGAGGGCAGGCTCCGCACGATCGCGTTCTTCTTGGCCATGCGGCGGGTGCCCAGGGCCAGGCAGGTGGTGATGACAGCAGGGAGGCCCTCAGGGATGGCAGCCACCGCCAGCGCCACCGAAATCTTGAAGTAGTAGATGGCCCCTCGGAACCAGGAGCCCCCGTGGACCGGGTCGCTGAAGTGGCTGACGTTGATGACCCAGACGGCGACGCACACCAGGAAGATCACTTTGGAGAGCTGCTGGCTGAACTCGTCCAGCTTCTGCTGCAAGGGGGTTTTCTCAGGCTCTGTCTCCACCATCTGGTTTCGGATCTTCCCGATCTCCGTGTACAGCCCCGTCGCAATCACCACCCCCACGGCCTTCCCGGCGGAGATGTTGGTGCCCTGGGAGGGAAGAAAGGGGCCAGAGGGGATCTGTGGGCATGAAACCTCTCAGGCTGTGAGGGGATATGGGTGGCTTGTTGTGAAAGGAGAACATGAGATCTTGGTGAAAGGGAAAATGAGACATCCTGGGATTTGTTATAAACCCAATCTAAAGCAGCAGGAGACCCTCCTGAGAGCTCTCTTGCCCCTCGAGGACTTTTGTCATGAGCAAGGAGGAAGCCCAAACCTGAAATAGCTCCAGGCTCAACCACAAACCTGTCTGTAACACATTGTACTTGACAGAAAACCATCTGAGGTTGCCCAAGGCATTTAAGGACCTCATGTGCCACTGCCCAAATGAAATCTCGTGGAAGCAAGTCCTCACTTTTATGGATTTGGGGCTCTTTTTATGGATTCTGGCCTCTCAAATGCATGTGCTCCCTTGCACTGCTTGGAGACCTCCCATGTCCATCAGCCTTTTCACTTGATGGCTCTTGGCAAGAACACAGGAGAGGTGAGGACAGGCATAAGGGACTTACTGAGAAAAGCATGTTCTTCTTGTCCTGGTTGACAGCCCGGGGGTCAGGGATGGGGTCAGCATGTTTGATCACCGACACAGACTCCCCTGCCGAGACAAGAGGGGGAGATGAACCACTTGCCTTTCCTCTCCAGCCTCCACTCAACTCTGTTCTGGGCCTGCAGGGCAACCCCCACAGCTTCTGAAAGCAGCACGTGGTCACCAAAGCATCCCAACACCCATCATGTGGATGCCAGAGCTGGGCCAAGGTGCTCTGAGGACGAGGGCTGCAGAAAGATAACCTGTGTCATGATGCTGGGACCTCCCCAGGCCCCTCAGTCTCATTCTCCCACCCATTTCTCATCCCAGCAAAGCACCTGGCCCCAAAATTTGGCTCTGGGAAGAGGGCAGAGGGAAAGCTCTGCCTCCAGCAGCCCCCTCAGCCCCGTCACGCCCACACACACCTGTGAGGATGGACTGGTCGACCCGCAGTGTTGTGGACTGGATCTCGATGATCCGGATGTCTGCTGGCACCTTGTCACCAACTACAGGGGCAAGAGCAGAGCAGATCCATCAGGGGGGCCCAGCAGTGTCCACCAGCTCAGGGAAAAGGGACAGCAAAACCTAAATGTGCCAGCACAGCCAGGATCTGCCCCAAGGTTTGGGGTCACCAGTTTGCAGCTCAGTGCCTGCTGCCTCCCCTCGTTTTCTATTGGAACAGCCTGGTCTCCAGGCAGGGACTGGCTTTTGCTGAGAGTCACCATGTCCCTGTGAGGTGTAGGCAGATGGCAGCACCCAACCTGCAGCAACCAGGGGTCCAGACCATGGCAAACCAAGGTGCCATCCCAGGACAGCTCCTTTCTGCATTTAAAGCTTAATTTTGTATATCTATAATTTTACAAGTCAAAAAAAGAAAGCTGGAAAGAGGCAGCACCAGTAGCAATCAGACACTGGGCAGGATGGGGATGGGACCTTAAGGAATTTAATTTTCATAGAATGAGAATGGGTTGGGTTGAAAGGACATTAAAGATCATCCAGTGCCAGCCCCTTGCATGGCTCCCACCAGCCCAGGCTGCTCCAAGCCCCCTCCAACCTGCCCTTCAACACTGCCAGGGATGGGGCAGCCACAGCTTCTCTGGGCAACCTGGGCCAGGGTCTCACCACCCTCTCAGCAAATAACTTCTTCCTAAGATCTCAACTAAATCTTCCCTCTTTCAGTTTGAAAACATTCCCCATCACTCTGTCACTCCACAGCTTCATCAGAAGTCCCTCTCCACTTTTCCTGTAGGTCCTTCAGGTACTGGAAGGTTCTCTAAGGTCTGCCCAGAGTCTTCTTCTCTTCTTCAGGCTGCTCAACCCCAACTCTCTCAGCCTGTCTCCAGAGCAGAGGGGCAACGAGCACCCACAGCCCTCCTGTCTGCTTACTGGCAGGAGGGACCCTTCTCTATTACCTCTTCCCTGCAAAAAGCCCAAAACATCCTCATTTTGGAGCAGCCTGAGCTTCCCAACGCTGCTCTTCACCCTTTTTCAGAGCTCCACGGGCCTCTGAAAGCTGTTGCCACTGGAAGACCTTCTGTGCCCGGCGCTGGTTACGAGCGAAAGCAGCTCCCCCAACCGACCACCGACCACCAAGGCACACGTGCTCCCTTAAAAACCCCACTTAAAAGCTGCTTTTCCCACCGGGTTTCTTCCCTCCTGCTCCCTTAGTGACTGGGCACAACTTCACTTTGGAAACACTGAGGCAGCAGGAGCCCTTGGCCCGCTGGGCCTCCCATCACCTCGCACCACGCGCCGGTTTGGCCGCTAACGAACGGCTCCGATCCCAGACTTTAACGAGCATTTCCTCCCGGGGCTTGTAAAACCAACCCCCCTTTCCCCTCCTCCTCCCCAGTGCAGCAGGAGGGGGGGGCTGGCACTGCTCCATCACCCAGCCATGTCTTCCAGCTGCAGATCCCAGAGCTCCGGGATGGGATGTGCAACATCTGGCCGGACCTGCCGCACGCCCTGTCGCACCCGTTCTTTGGGGGGTGTTGAGCTGGGGAGTGCTAAGCACAGGGATTCAGAGATCCCCCCCCCAAAAAAAAACTGTTTCCCTCAGACCTTGGGAGCTGCCCAAGGAGGTTGGAGCACAGCAAAGGGAGTGAGGAGCTCCTTTCTCCCCTGGGGAAGCCAGGGAGGGTTTGCAAACTTGCTGTTGAGCTTGCCTAGCCCCAGAGGCATGGGGGGAGCATCCACTGGGGGCAGACAGAGCCAGGACAAGCCCAGGAACTCACACAGCACCAGACAGATGGACCTGGCAGCTGCTAGTGAACATGCACTGATCACCCCAGCACCAGAAGGCTCCTCGTCCAAAAACCTCTGTGGGTTTTGGCAGGCAGAGGATGGCACGGCAGCCGGAGCTCAGCCCTGCACAAGGTCTCACCTCCACCTCCTGGTGACCAAAAGGCAGAGCCCAGCTGGGTTGCATGGCTTGCCAACTTCCAACCATCGTTCCCCTCTTGTCTTAGTGCAGGGGATTTTCTGCTCCCTGCTGGCAAATTTATTGCATCTGCACATGCAAAGAGAAGCCAGACCTTCCTGCCCGAGCTGTCCCCAGCATGTCACCTCCCTGTCCACTGCACAAACTACTGCTCCTAATGCACTTCCCTGACAGCATCCTCACCACTTGCTACAACCTCCTAAACACACACATTTCTCATTAATTCACTAATAATTTGCAAACCCCTCTGTGGGGAGGGGAGCTCCACTCTTACCCACTGAGGATGCTGATTGTTCCATTCAAAGGGAACATTCAGCCACAGAGGGGCAGGCAGCAAGCGGCTGATTTGGGGCAAGACAGCAGAATTTAATGAATTAATAATTAGTTAATTTAATGAAAGGCCAGGTCAGCAGCTGGAGTGCATTGCTAGAGCTGGTTTGGGAGCCCTGCCAGCTCGCCCAGCTGAGGATCTGGCCAGAATTCCTCTGCTTGATCCTCCCAGCATTAGTTTTTCTGTCCATCCTCCGGCTGAAGCCGAGCTGGAAGACCTGACTCCCGGCTGGGCGGGGAGGGATTGCAGAGTGTTTCCACCAGCAGGGCCACGAGGAGGAAAGGAGAGGATTAGTTTAGTGGCTCTTGAGGTTTAAGAGATGGTTCAAGGAACCAACAAAATGGGATCGTTGAAATGCATCTGGTGGGGCAGGCAGGAGACACCCCCCAGGCACCCTGCCCTGTCCCACCAAAGGGCTGGGGGGGACAACCCAATGGGAGAGACAAAAACACCCTACAGCAGGTCCCCTCTGCCCCTCACCCTCCCCAGACAGCAGATCCCAGGTCCCAGGGACACCTGCCCACACTGACAGGACCCGCGCCCACTGCTGAAGATCTACAAATTGGGTGACTATGAAGATCTCTGCTTTGAAACCTCCGCAATGAGAGTGGACTCTGTGTGGTGCTCAGCTATGGTCTAAAGCAGGAGCTGGAGCCAGATGCAAGATCACTGCCCACTGGGCAAAGAATCCTTATTTTAGGGACAACATCTGCACTTTTAGGACCTCCCAGCAGCGCTTTGCCTGGCTCCCAACAGCAGCCTTGCCTTGTCTAGGGGATGTGTGTGGGAGAGCTTCTTCCAGGGAGAGGGAATCTTGGTGGAAAACTGAAAGTTCTTCCAGTTCTTTTAGGAAATGAGGAAACCCTCCTGAGACAGAAAACCTGGGCCTAATAGATTTATATATATACACATATATTTTTATATATAAAGATATGTTTATATATAAAAGTATATTTATATATTTCTTCTCTGCTGTTCTCTACCACCTTAGGCTCTGGGTGAAGCCTCAAGCAGGATGATGAGCCCCAGCTTTGGCCCCAATGATTTCACCTCCCTGGATTTGCAAAGACAAACTAAGACCCCAAGTGTAGCACAACCCAGGGACTCGGTGGCAGTGCCCCTGGGGGGGACCCCCCTGCCTGTGCATCCGAGCCCTCCCACCACAGAGTACCCATCACCCAAGGCCCACCGGCCAGCACCACCTCCCCATCCCACCCCTGGGGCCCTGGGGTGATGGCACATCTACCTGCCACCTCCACGATGTCCCCGGGGACGATGTCGCGGGCGCGGATGCGCTGCACCCCGCTGCGCTCGGCGCGGATCACCTTCCCCATCTCGGGCTCGTACTCCTTCAGGGCTTCGATGGCGCTCTCGGCGTTCCTCTCCTGCAGGCAGAGCAGGAGCTGAGCTGCTGGCAGGGGGGTGGCTCACGCTGGCAGGTTCCTTCCTCACCCACAGCAAAGAGCATCCAAACCCCAGCCCTGGCTTTGGCCACGTTGGCACCATCTTCTTCAACTGCTCTGAAATGGTCCCAGCGGCCTTATAGGACACCAGGTCCTGGAGGCCACTTTGTGGACTTTTGGGCTTGATTTTCTCATTCTTGGTTTGGGAAGTCACATATCCCACCCAGGTATATTTTTCCCCACCCAGCAACTCCAGCTCAGATAAATAAATGGTGTTAAACAAACAAATACAGGAAGAGGAGCATCCCTGGCTGAGGCGCTTGCTCCTCCCTCCAGGAGGGACACAGCAAGGTGAGGGGCAGCAGCCACCACAGCTTGCTGGTGGACAGGACAATGATCTTCCCTTAGAAAAGGCATTTGGCCACAGCCAGGAGACAAGCAGTGTTTGCCTGGATGGTAAATAAGCAGCAGATCCTAAACCCCAAGCTGGAAAAGTTGCCAAAGAAAGACTGAAGGAACAAGCCAACAACTGAGCATCTGCACTGGGGCACAGGGCAGCATGGCCAACATGAAAACTGAACCTTTGAGAGTTGAATTACCAACAAGAAGAAGCAACCAGACCTTCAAAGGAAGCATCTCAGCCAGGTGGAGCAGAGAGCAGCAGGGCAGGAAGGGGTGGTTGTGACTTACCTGCCACACGCCCACCACGGCGTTGGCGATCAGGATCATGATAATGACAATGGGCTCCACGAATGCTGTCGTGGTCTCCTCTCCTTCTTCAAACCAGGCCAGGATCTGGAAGGCAAGAGAAGAACCAAGTTGGACGAGGCTTGGAGCAACCTGGTCTAGTGGGGGGTGTTGCCCATGGACAAGGGTTGGAACTAGATGATCTTTAAGGTCCCTTCCAACCCAAACAATTCCATGATCCTATTGCCACGATGTGGTTGTAATGACAAGCACCAACATTTTAAGAAAGACAGAAACAAGAGCCAACCAAAATATGGTGTTTGCTGGAGAGAAGACAATCCAGAGTGGTGGTTAGCCCCAGACAGCTTGGTTGAAGTGTGGACTTGCCATAACCCACTGCCAGTGCTTCACCTGGGTGCCTCCACCTTCTGCTGGAACATGCTAATGCAGGGCTGCAGCAAAGGGCTGTGCAAAGCCTGGATGGGTATTTGCACCAGGAAACCATCTATTTTTGTTTAGGACACTCATGGAGAGACCATGGGCTTGTGCAGATGAGTGGGGAGACTGGGCAGCACTGCCTGCCTCTCAGACAAAGCCACCAACAGCTGGACAACCACTGTGGTCACCATCTGCAGTATGGCCAGCCTCTGGGGAGCTCCTCCTGGGCAGAAGTTAAGTGATGCAACACAAGTAACTGATGCAGTAAGAGCAGCTCTGCCAAGCAGGGACTGACCTTGTGCCTTCTGACTACCCTGAGCCCACCCTCCAGCCCACACAGACCTCATCCCACTGTACAAATGCAGCTCACACACATAGATCTTTTCACTCCATTTAACTGCTTGACCACCTGTGCTGTGTCAACACAGCAACACCCTGCTGCTCTGTGGCACCAGCACGAGGGACCTGGGCCATGGGGCTCCCTGCCTGCCTTGCTGACCAGCAGAACCACAGCAGCAGATCTGGCCATCCAGCAGCTTGCACCAGCTCTGCAAGTTCACCAGCAACCATGTTGCTGCCTGTTGTTCTGGAGATGCATCAAATTTTGCAAGGGACCAGCCTCCTTCCTCATCTGCCCAGCAGTTATCTCCAAAAGCAGGGGACAGGAGACTCCACTTTGCCATCCAGCTGCCTGGAGTGTACTCAAAAAAATGATCAATTCTCCAGCTGGCTGGTGGGAAACATCTCCTGCTGTGGAGTTGCTCCTGGCAGAGGTTGTGGGCAGACCTGAGCTGATGGCACAGCAAATAAGGCTCAGATCAGGACCTGAGGAGCCACTCATGACAGGTGCTTCCAAGGCACCATGGAGGACAAGTGCAAAGGGTTCACACTGCCACTGGATGCCCCATCCTTGGAGGTCTTCAAGACAAGGTTGGATGGGGCCTTGAGTAACCTGATCTAGTGGAAGGTGTCTCTACCCATGCAGAGGAGTCTTTGAGGTCCCTTCCAACCCAAACCATTCTAAACTAGACTCTAAACTAAACTACTCAGTGCTGCCCATCAGGAAGCTTTGCTAACCACATGGACCTTGAGTTTGATCACCCATCATCTCTCAGCACTGTTAATTATGGAGGAGGTCAGCAGCACTGGTGGGCAGCAGCTCATTGAGGCTGGTGGTCCTCTTGCTGCCTTTTCCTGAGCACCCTGGGGAGGAGAAGCTGCTCTGTGCTTGCAGGAGGTGCTGGGGGTGAAGCACAGCTCCTCCTGAGAAAGGCACCTGGGGACACAACCTCTTCCCCAGCGAAGGGGGGAGAAAAGCCCCACTGGAGATGCACCACAGAGGAAGGAGATGTTTGAAGATGGGCAATAACACCCTCTGGGGAAGGAGAAGCTGGATGGTACCACCCTGAAGGCAGCACCTGGGCAGCTCAGGTGACAGGAGCAGCCTGGGCTGGGCTTCACACCCTGCTGACCTCCAGGAGAACCCAACCAAGACATCATCCAGACCTGCCGTCACGTTTCCCTGCTGGGAGGCACATTAACCCTGCAAAGGTGCACAGGAAAGCTGGGTGCCCTGCACTGCACCCAGCTCTGCCCTCTCCTCAGCATCACCCCCTTGGGCACCACCAGCCTGGGATCTCAGAGCCCTCCCAGGCACGTGGGCTGGGCAGGAAGGCAGGGAACAGCAGGCAGGAGGCACTTCCCACGCAGGCAGCTGCAGCACTGCCAGTCCAGCTCAACCAGAGGGAGAGGGAAAAAAATACATTAAAGAAAAAAATTAAAACAGATTGGATTTCCATTTTTCATTTAAAAACAAGCAGAAGGGCTCTGGGAGGGAGACCACTCTGAGGAGGGCAGCCACATGGGGTTTGGAAATGCTCCTGGCCACACCTTTGCCTTCCTACATAGATGCTCACACTTTAGGTAGGTGCCTGCTCTGCTGCTTGCACCCCAAGAAAGAGAAAGGTGGTCCAGGGAGCTTCTGAGCTGGATTCAGGCACCCAAAGTGCTCTCCTCACCTCTCATCCCTCATCACCAGCACTCTGGCCAGGAAAAAGCAAACTGTGCCATGTCCAGGCACACAGGGAGGTGGTGCTGGGACCCTCCAGCTCCCAGCACCTCACACAAGGCTTGACCATTGCACCAGGAATGAATCTGCACCCTGGGGACACACACACACATCTCCACAAGTCAGAGATGTGGTCCTGTGTTCTGGCACACCCTGACATGGATCTAGTCATGTTGACACTTCATACATTCAAAAAAACACCCAAAGACAAACTAAAGAATGGGGTAATTTCCCTGTCTGTTTTGCCACCTACACAAGTTGAGGCATAAGACATGTTTTGCAGGATGGAAGACAGGATTGAAAAGCAATCAGAAAGAATTAAAATCAGAGAAGATACTTCCATTTGCAAGTTTGGGTCCTGACTCTGAACTGACAGCATCAAAAATGATGGAGGGGAAATACAGAGTGGATTTCAGAGGGAAGCTGAAAGACATAGTAACAAAGGTACCTTCTAAACTAAAAAAAAAGGAATCTTTCTGGATAAAAATCTTGCAGTGAGATAGAGACATGTCCAAAGGACCTGTGCTATGTCAGGTAGGGTCTGCAAACAATGACAAAAAGCTGTGGAGCACAGGAAAAAGCACAGGAAGCTCTGGGCATCCCTCCCCTGCCTCTGGCAGCCCCACTCTTGCTGGAGCTCTGGGCTTCCTCTCTCCAAACCCAAATCCTACATGGTGCCCAGAGCCAACACCCATCCCACCAAAACCTGCCCAGGACCAACCGTTTCCATGGCCCTTTTTTTTGGCTTTGTCTGGTGTAGCCTTGGGGAAGCAGAGGGAGTTGTTTGGTATCACTTGTGGATGGAGCAGCACCACCAACAAACGCTACGGTCTCATCTTTTTAAGCAGGTACAATGATATTGTCACCACACCCTGGGAAATCACTGCACTGCTGCTACACTTGCATCACCCAACACGTGTCTTCTTCCAGCTCCTTGGCTCTCTGGCTGCCCCCAGGTCCTATCCATGCCCCAGGTGGTGCCACCCCCCAGCCTGGGCTACTTACGAAGGACAAAAAAGCCGCCATCAGGAGGATGCGGACGAGGAGATCTTCAAACTGCTCCAGCACCAACTCCCACAGGGACTTTCCTGGGAGGAGAAGATGAAGCCAAGCACAGTCAGTGCTCAGTGCCCCAAAAGACAGGGAATTCAGGCCACTGGGGCCACCAGCAGCCTGTCCCCCCTGGCAGCAGAACTGCTCCAGGGCCCACCAGCCATGGGCACCAGCAGGAGCAGCCAGCCCTGCCATGGGGGGTTTGACCACCTCCACTCCTGGCATTGCCCTGGTTTTACTACATCTACTACAAAAAACTAAGTCCTCTGTGTTTCTATTCATGGCTGGTCTCAGTATCAGAGGAAAGCTCTGCTGTCAGCCCAGCTTTCCCTGGAATTAAAACCAAGATTAAAAGACCCCCAAGAATCCCCCCTCCATGTCCCCCCAGCAGCCTCCACCCAGACTCAAGGCCCTTCCCCACCCTCCCCACCAGCCCACGACTTACCTTCTTCTGCAGGGAGCTCTGTGGGTTTTCATCAACAGCCCAGCAAGTGTAACAAAGTGGGAAAAAAAATTGATAAAAATAACAAAATTAATTACTGCTTTGGGCCCAGCCTGACAAGCCCTTCCCTCATGTCCCAGCAGCCCGTTCAGCACCACAAAATGCAGCTTGTTCTGCACATATTCAAGACAGCTTGTCCTCCAACTTCTCAGCCTGACACCAAATAAGCAGCTCTGGACACCCCCCACCCCAAGGAAACATATTTTCCCTGCTGCAAGCAGCCCAGCAGCATTTATTCCTGCCCTCAGCTTGCCTAAAAAACACTCCCCAGGAGCTGCCCTCTCCAAATCCAGGACCCAGAGGTCCAACCATCCCATAAAACACCCTGCCAGAACCCAACTACCAACCTGCTGAGGACTGTAACTTTCAGAGCACGTTTCCTATCACTCAGTTGCTCTCCCCAGCCTGCAGTGCTCTAGGACAGGACTCCAAAGCTTCTGCTCAGCTGCTCCAACCTGAAGCCACCCAGGTGGGTCTGGAGCCTCCAGCCACACCACTTCCTACCAAACCCAAGCCCAGTCACCTGCACAACCTTGGGAAAACCCCAAGGGCTCCCAAACACCTGTCATGGTCTCCCTGAGATTCCCTGTAGGATGGACTGTCACCTTCACACGTGGCCTGTGCAGGAGGTCCCATGGTTGCTGGGCAAGGCACAAACCCCAGCACCCACCAAGGACGTTGCTCCTGCCTCCTCACATGCAATAGTGGATGTGCTGGCCAAGGATTGCCAGGTCCTGCACCCCAGGAGGGCTCAAAAGTGACCCCCCCACCAGGGTTTTGGCTGCTGATGGGTACTGGCATGGCTGGGTGTCCCCATTTGCACCCACTGTTCTCACATTCTGGGTGGATCCCCTGGCAGCTTCCAGAGGAGCTGGCAGCTGGACTGAAACCTCCACCAGCTGTCCCAAGGTGGGGAAACAGGGACATTGCTGCTGCCCTACGGGAAAAGGAAATCCAGGATTCACTGAGATGGGGAAACCAAAGCTGCAGGGATGCACCAGGAAGCCCTCAGGGGGCTGTTTTGGCGGCCCAAAGGCACAGCCCAGCCCTGCAAGGAGCAGCGGGTACCAGAACAGGTGACACGGTACCAGGGCCAGGTGCTGCCTCCATCCTTTGGTGCTCTGGGGCAGGAGGGGACCAGACAGAAATCCACCCCAGTCCTCTCACTGGGAAAAAAAACTCAGCCAGAAACCTCCCAAAGAGCTGTCCCAAATCCTCCACCTGCTTCCATGCCCCGTGCGGTGATCATAAAACAAAATGTTCCTCCAGCTCCCGTGTTTCTGGGACAAAACAAGGGTCTGGATGAAGTTCAAGAGGAACTGGACCAAAGCAGACACGCTCCATGCCCCATGGCTAGGCCAAGCACAGGGTGTCTCTGAGCAGCCCCAGCAAAAGCAGGAAGTGAAACCAGCTCGGGCCGTTTTCCATCGTCTATTTTCATTCAGAGAAATTCAAAAAGAAACACATCAAACCAACAAACCCAAACCAAACCCCTCTTCGCTGAACCAACCAGTGAAAACGAGAAGCCTGAACATTGCATCAGCTCCTCAGGGTTCCCAGAGGGACTTACTGTGAGTTGTTTCAAGCCCACGTCCCCCCGAGATGCGGCTGCTCGGATCTCCTGCCCTGGCAGGGAGCAGCACCTGGCACCTGTCCTTCTTCTGATAGCCAAAAAGTAACAGTTCACAGCATCACAGAAGCCCAGAGGTTGGAAGGGACCTGGAAAGCTCCCCCAGCCCAACCCCCCTGCCAGAGCAGGGGCACCCAGAGCACATCACACAGGAACGTGGCCAGGGGGGTTGGAATGTCTCCAGAGAAGGAGACTCCACAGCCTCTCTGGGCAGCCTGGCCCAGGGCTCTGGCACTCTCACAGCAAAGAAGTTCTTCCTGAGATTCACAGGGAACCTCCTGTGCTCCAGTTTGCACCCATTGCCCCTTGTCCTGTCACTGGACATCACTGCACAAAGCCTGGCTCTGCCCTCCTGACACTGCCCTGAACAGATTTGTGCCCATGGATGAGGTGGCCCCTCAGTCTCCTCTTCTCCAAGCCCAACAGACCCAGCTCCCTCAGCCTTTCCTCAGCAGGGAGACGTTCCCCTCCCTCTGCATCTCTGTGGCTCTGCCCTGGGCTCTTCCCAGCAGTTCCCTGTCCTTCTGGAGCTGAGGGGCCCAGAACTGGACACAACATTCCAGCTGTGGCCTCACCAAGGCAGCACAGAGGGGCAGGAGAACCAGCAAAGAAGTTCTTCCTGAGATTCACAGGGAACCTCCTGTGCTCCAGTTTGCACCCACTGCCCCTTGTCCTGTCACTGGACATCACTGCACAAAGCCTGGCTCTGTCCTCCTGACACTGCCCTGAACAGATTTGTGCCCATGGATGAGGTGGCCCCTCAGTCTCCTCTTCTCCAAGCCCAACAGACCCAGCTCCCTCAGCCTTTCCTCAGCAGGGAGATGTTCCCCTCCCTCCAGCATCTCTGTGCCTCTGCCCTGGGCTCTTCCCAGCAGTTCCCTGTCCTCCTGGAGCTGAGGGGCCCAGAACTGGACACAACATTCCAGCTGTGGCCTCACCAAGGCAGCACAGAGGGGCAGGAGAACCTCCCTTGCCCTACTAACCACCCCCAAGTCACCATCTCGGAGGGGCTTCGACGTTTCAGATGACTGTGCAGAGCATGTCAGAAGGAAAGTGGCTCCTCTCCCTTTGCAGCTCCTCTCCACCCCCAGTTTCCTCTCCCTGGCCCCGAGAGCCACCAAAATCAAAAGCAGAAGAGACCTCCTGCTGCTGCTGTTTCCAACCAGGCTCCATGTTCAGGGTGTGAACGGGTGAGGTGAGAGGGCTGGGGACAGGTGGGGTTCCCACGGGTGTCTGCCCTGCTGGGGTGCCCAGGGGTGGCCTCCCAGCCCCAAGAAGCTGTGGGTGCTCTCAGTGCTTCTCCTGCCTGCTGTTTGCATGAAGGGACTTTGCATGAGTTCTGGATTAAAGTATGAAAACAGGTTTCTGTGAGCTCAGGAGGAAACATGTGCACTGGGGCAGCCAGCTGAGGCATCACCCATGGCACAGTGACACCAAAACCTGTACCCAACCCTCAAACATGCTGCAGGCCCCTCCAAAAACACCCCAATTTTGGGTATACTGAGAACCAGGCACCTCCCCTGCCATCAGTGTCTCCTTAAGGTGGCAGCTCAGCACCTACTCACACCAAAGACCCAGAGAAAAAGAGCAAGAAAGTCACAATAAACTCACATTTTGGGGTCTGAATTGATCAAAACCCCCCAGAAATCAGCAATGTTCAGGGCTGAAGTTTCTCCCTCTCACTTAAGTCTTGCTAGAAACAAGGAGGTTTGCTCCTTGAGGAAGTTTTACATGAGCCATGGCAGCAGGGAGGGCAGCAGAGCCAGTCCTGAGCTGCAGCAATGCCATGATGTCCCACCTGGCCAGGAAAGCCACCACAGGCAGGGAACCAGCCAAATCCTAAATCTGCAGCTCCTGTGGGACAACACAGGGTGTGCACACAGGCTGAACCACCTGAATAGCCCCTTCCTTTAGTCAACAGCTTGGAGCACCAGCTCCTGACACAGCCAGCAGACAAATGGAGTCACTGCACCAAGGGCTGAAAGTGGTGACAGTTGCTCCAAGTGGTCCCCAACCACTTGCTCCACAACCTTGCACCTTCCCAAGCCAAGCAGTCCCACCACGGGCCCTCAGCTTGCAGATCCATATCTGCTATTTGCTGCTGCTGCTCATCTGTGGGATGGCTTTGGAGAGCAGAGCCATGAAAACAAGAGACCAAGAGAGGTCCATGGGTGCCTGGAGGCCTCAGGACCATTCCCACCAGCAGCTGAGCACCCTCTCCCATGGCTCACCAAGCAGAGAGGTGCAGGTCCAGCCACCCGCTGAGCTTTGCCTGGCAGAGCACAAACCACAGCCAAGCTCCAGGGGTTTGCAACTTGCCCTGAGCTTGTCACATCACGACTCCTCTCCTCACTGTGCCACCACCACCACCTCACACGCTGAGCGTGGCCCAAGTTGGGCTGCAAAAGGCTTGACTGGAGGTGTTTGAAGGGCAGGCAACGAGCCCGGGCACAACGTGGGGCGGGTTAGTTGAGCTGAAGGTTCATCTCCAGCTCCTGCCAACTCAAACAGGGCTGGCAGCCCGCGGGCTGGCGCCTGCAACATGGCAGGGCAGGGTCATCAGGGGCTGAAAAGGTAAATAAACACAGGTGCCACCCAGAAATGAGGCAGCAGGAGCTTGGAGCTGCCACCCCGGGCTCTGCCTGGGGGAGGTGTCCCCGGGGGGTCCCTGCCCCGCTGCCCGGGCCAAGGCAAACCAGTAAAACGTGCCAGGGTGGCACTGGGGTTGCTTCAAGGAAATGTTTTTGAGTTTCTCCTGCTGTCACAGGATCCAAAAATCCCTAGAGCAGAACAGCCCCTGCAGCACCCGGGGTTGCTCCACCCCGCTCTGCTTGGAGGGAAACTGAGGCACGAGGCGACGCGTCCCCACAGCAAAGCAAAGCAAACGTGGGTGGATGCTCAGCCTTGGTGGGCAACCCACCCCAGCACATGTATCACCAGGTGAACACTGAAGTATCATTTTCCTCAGCATTTCAGGGGCTTCCCTGGGATAAAAATCACCCTTGTCCTCAGGGAAACCCTTCTTGCTGCCCAGTGATGTGGGAAGGGTAATGGCAGGGTGCCCAACGTGGGTCACAGCAACGGGCAGCACAGGTGAGCCCAGCTCTCTGCTCCAAACAACTTCCTTCAAGCCATATTTTTATGTTGTAAACTCATTTTTATGTTGTAAACTCATTTTCATTCCCTCCCCCCCCCCCTTTAATTTCTTTTTTCACACGCAGGGAAGGGAATGGATGGACAAACCAAGGGACACACTTGATTCCCACACTCCAACAGGCAGGAAAAAGGACCCAAAAAGCAGTGAAAAGAGGAAGAAAAAGCCC